CGGCTTACCATCTAGCGGAAGGTTTCGGAAAGGTGAAAAAACATATATTTAATACTTGCGCCGGGTATTTAATGTTCGGCTCCGCCCGAACTTAGACTTTCTTACTTGTTTAAAATCAATTAAATTAAATTAAAGGTAAATTAAGTTACCTAAGGCTTGAGGTAAAGTTATGTTAGGTAAGGTTAACCTGTCTAATTGTTATCACACGTCACATACGCGGGACCGCAATTAAGTGTTTTTGTACTGGAGGGAGAATACAATAAATCGCAACCTCATGTTTGCGGATGCATCTTAAAGCATAGACAGACGGCAACGTTGATCCGGATTAACGCCGCAATTGATCTGATCAAAATTGTGCCTTGACAGACGGCAGTAACGCGGATTAACGAGCCTCGAGGTCGTAGGTTCGAACCTCACGACCAGTGGAATATTCATTTATATTTATTATTTATAACTAAGTTGTTTTTGACTTTTTAGTAAAATTAAACTCTAAAAATTTAAATTGACTAATAATAAAATAAAAAATGTGAAATAAAATAAAACAAACGAAAATAAAATAAAAAACGATTAGATATATAAATCAAATTAAATTTAGAAAAATAAAAGATATAATAAAAAAAAAAAATTTTTGCAATCGCTCCAACCGAGGATCGAACCTGGGACTTACAGGCTTGTAGTACACAGCTCTCCCCACTCGGCTACCGCGGATGAAGGATCCGATTGCTTTATTTGCTCAGTTAGAACACAAAGAAACTGCAAAACTAGCATAGACATCCACCCTGTCGTCGGTAATCCAGCTCTTATTAATTTTAAATTGGATTCCTATTTGAATTAGTATTAGTGACTGCATTACTGATGAAAAGGTATATGTCCATGCTAATTTTGCATTTTCCCTGTATTCTACGCTCTCCGGGTTTTGGTCAGTGTTGTCATTGAAAATTCCCTTGATCCGAGTTAAGTTTGGGAATTAACTCTAGGACTTAATCCGGATCAACTGCGGTTAATTTCCGAGATAATTCCGAATTAACGAGTTGATCCGGATCAACGCTGCCGTCTGTTTATGCTTTAACCGAGATTATACCTTAGATATCGTGCCTGCTACCCACTCATGTATTAATCCAAATAAAATTAAGGAGGTCCCATACTTTCACTTCCGTTATCTCCGCTAAGCTGTTGAAAAAGCGAAATCTCAATAAATTAAGTTGCCTTGCCTGGAGAGCTGAGACTTGACATAGGAAATGGTGAATCGATTTCTCCTCTTCCTTATTCCCACAATTTTTGCAAAGAGAACTTCTGGTGGTACACACCATCGTTGGAGTCTTGTACTCTGTTTGGTGCCGGTAAAAGTACCTTTAACGCTAAAAGTAGGGAGTAGATTAGCTCAGCAAGGTCTTGAACTTGTCTATGACCACTATTATCATATGTGAGAAAACAGTTCTAGCAGCATTCTGCTAGTCAAAGGCGTGTGAGCCCGTCTGGAATTTTACGCTACTAGAAGACACTGGGACCTCCTCTGTCACACAGGGGCTCAAACGGTGCTCAACGAATTATCTGAGTGGTCGACACCCGTTAGAAATTGTCAGAGACAAAACATCTAACCAGGTCAGGCTAAAGCTGTATATTCCCGTTGAAGGATGGCACACTAATTCCAAGTGTGAATATCCCAAAAATTATCGGAGCAACAAAATTATCGGAGGGACAAAGGCAAGATATGTTATAGGCAACATACAAGCCGATTGGGCGACCGGTTCTAAATTATGCAGCGTCCGTGTGGTTGCCTGGGACTAGTAGGACGCCATAGACGTAGCTACATACATGGCACAACACAGCACTCCAGCCAGACACGGTATGCCACCAGGATACCATGTACATAGTGAGGTCCAAATACTCGAAGTAAAGGAGCACAACATCGTGCACAGAGAGTCGTTTTTAGTAGGATACTACAGGTGTAAGCACCAGAACAGACACTCGGTCGAGGCCAAACCTCTACCTAGTCACACCATGAGGCATCTCCACAAACTAAAGGACGAGGTCCAACGATACATTCTACCGCCACTGGAACCGGGACTGTACAGACAGGAAACTAACAGTATTCAGAGAGAGAATGTTACCACCTGCCCAGACTGCCGTCTTATAAATGACGTCATATAAGTGTCCAATCACCACCTGTGGATGATAGTGAGCCTCAACTGCCGAGAGAGACCCGCGTAACTCTGGCCCAACTACGGTCTGGATACACCTAATGAATGTTCAGCGTGTGGAGATTCCCCCCACGACATCTAGCACCTTTTCACATGCACACTCCAATGAACTCCACTAATACTGCTCTCCCTCTGGTCCGACCCCGTAAAAAGACGAAGGACGGCAATGATTGAAGGACCATCCGATCTAGGCAGGGCTAAGTAAGCCGCTACAATAAACGCAGTAGCAATTTGTTGGCACTATTTAAAAGATTTATGTCTTCCCTAGCAAAGTGATATCCAATAAGTCTGGCCTCTTTGAAGCCTCCTGCCGTTCCCCCAGCACTTAATGCATTTTAAGTTTACCCATGTTACTGTTACTATAACTCTCGTTAACCTCGTTATTTTCAATAGCGGAGTATCCTAATACCCAGCATAGTGTTACCGTGTTTCTCGCTGCCATATTAACTATGGATTGTCCTTGGAGGTATTGAGCTTGTTCGAGTTTAAGTTCATACATTGGCTGTAAGGACAATAAGTTGTTGGCCTTAGTTGTGGCGTTGAACTTTGTTGAATCACTTACACAGATGCATAAGGACTTGTTAGAGGTATATACATATGCTCCGATCATGAAGATTTTTTGGGCTGTTTTTATTAAAAATTTTGGAGAAAAGCTTTTTTAAAAAGCAAATTTTTACAGCGTCGCAAATTATGTGGTATGTGGTATGTAATTCCACTTTAATGTTACTCATAATTTAGTACCAGTTTATTTAAACCCTTTCGAATGAAATAAGCAAATTCATAAGAAAAATTTCAAGTTTTATTCATTTGCAAATACATTTTGTCATTTAAACCGAGGTAGCAGCACTCACCACCCATGATCGTAGGTCAGCTACACTTGAGTATATACCAGGGTAGTTGGGATACGCGCAGCCATAACCCCAGGATACACCGCCAACCAAGACTCCGCCAGAAACCAATGGACCACCAGAATCCCCCTGGCATGCATCTTTGCCGGAGGTGTAAGCGCAAAGCATGGTGCTCCTTACCTGGCTACCATAACCATAAGTGCTCGATTGACACTTACTCAAACTGACGATACTCAAATCAACGGACTGCAATTGAGAAGGTAACGAAGAGGAACCATATGTCAGAGTACCCCAGCCGGATACAACAGCAGCAGCGCCATCGGCAGGTGCAGTGGTGGCCAAACCAATTGTCTTGATGGTTGAGCTCAACGAAAGTGAAGATGACAAACGGACGACAGCGATATCGTTGACCATGGTGTTAGCGTTGTAGCCTTCATGATTCTTGAAAGCGGCCACCTGCACGAGTACACCGCCGGAGGTCCTGTAGGATGAACCAGCGCGCACCTTCAGCGATGAGGCGGTTACACTTTGCAGACAGTGAGCAGCGGTGACAACAATAGTATTACTGTAAAGCGAACCACCGCACGAATGAGAGCCTGAACGTTGCAATGAGATTTGCCATGGGAAAGAGCTAATCGTAGTAGCAGAACCGCCGACAATACGTCCATCCAACTGCGGGAGTAGACCATCTGGAATGGATGCACCCAGCGCACAGGCAACCGCCGACAATAGAATTACGAACTTAAACATGTTCAAAGACTTAGGGCCGGTTTCTCTATCTCCGGTTAACACTAATCCCCCGGTAAACATCGTTACCGACCTTATCGACTCCCTGTTATATGCATGGAGTTAGAGCGTCGATAACAATGTTTAACCGGGGAGTTAGTGTTAAACAGAGATGGAGAAACCGGCCCTTAATGTTGGTTATTGTAGGAGGTGCATGAGCTTTTATAGGGTTTCATTGCATATTGGCATACAATAGGTGCCTAGCCGATATCAGTTTGCNTCGTTTCATTGCATATTGGCATACAATAGGTGCCTAGCCGATATCAGTTTGCGGCGCATGGCGTGTCTTTTTTATCAATAAGATTTATAAAGAGTTTCCGTTCGACATTCTAACGAGCCGATGTGATGCTTATAAATTAAAATAACTAACATAACAGCCAAATATTTTTAGCTGTCATAAAATATGCACTGATTTGGCGTCATTAATTTCTTAATTCGGGATGTTATATTAGGAACACTTTGAAGATAAGTGTTGTGGCGCTTCTTGCTTTGGAAATGCACTAAAAGATAATTGTTTATAATACATTTGAACTTAGGTGATGAGAATGGTGGTATATTAATAAATCGCCTATGTTCTTCATGATAACTGAGGTTTAAGTTTTGGCTAGACCAGGACAAGTTAACCTGATTACTTTAGGTTATGTTAGTTTAGCCTTTTAAATTCCGATGTACTTGAGAGAATAGCGAACAGACTTTAAAAACTATTCACCCATCAAGAAGGAAAGCCCAGAGAGCGCAATCAAAGTAAACCATAAAAAGCATTTGATTGAGGGCCTAGATATCGACTCATGTGACCCCGCGTACCATAATATCCCGCAGTTTTCTTGCCAGTTACTGCTAAACTACACTGTTTCTACACTCTTTGTGGAACGAGAGTTTACAGGTTTACGCTTGCGAGATTTCAGAGGGCCCAAAGATAACCGACTAAAAAAGGTTAGATATGTTGATAAATAATAAGATACGGAGCCCAGGTGGAGTACCCAATAAAGCGTTTGAAGTGGTAATAAGGAAAATAACACCAACATTTCTTCAACTCTTCGATGCATGTACCCTGGAAGGCGTCTTTCCCAGCGAACGAAAAAAGCCAACGCTGGTTCCCCTGTTTATCTGCTTCGCCTCGAAAAACTGGGGGAAATCTCCGAACACGGCATATGCAAACGGATGGGAAGAATTCTAGCAGGACCAAATAGGATATCTGCAAAGTAGTTTTGATTTCGCCAATGGAAATCAACGATAGATACGTTCCAAGCATTGCCTTATATACAGTGTAGAGCATTTTTTTGCAAACTCTGGACATTAAAAATGAGTTCAACTAACCATGGCATCCAATTCCTGTTTTGTGTCTTAACGTTGTCATATAAACGAAGGGACCTACAGTTTAATGGCGCCTACAATAGTTTTTTTAGAGAAGGAACCAATTGTAACTCATTTAATTTTAGTAGTTTTATTAGGTCAGATCAATCTACTTGTTCTTATTTGGCACTACAACCGTTTGTCGGTTTGGACCGATACCAAAAAGCTTCGCCAGTTGCCTCTCTCCCTTGCGGACTTGGTTCTTCCATTGTGTTCGCGGTCGCCTTTGTTTTCGTTGTCCTCCCATGGGTGCGGAGTCGAAGCATCGTTTCACCGGAGCGTCATCATCCATGCTTACAACATGTCCAAACCAGCGCAATCGTTGTATTTTTATGCGTTTAACTATGTCGTTAAAAAGCTCATTCAGTTCGTCATTCCATCTTCTTCGGTACGCGTCGCCCACGCCAACAGGACCATAGATCTTGCGTAGAAAAGTTCTCTCGAAAGCATCAAAGCCTTCTCATATTTCCATGTTTCTGCGGAATATAAAAGGACGGGCATGACGAGAGATTTTTGAGTTTCGTTCGTCGAGAGAGGGCTCTGCTTTTCAATTGCATACCGAGCCCAAAGTAGCACCTGTTGGCAAGGGTTATTCTTTGCTTTATCTTTAAAAGCTTTACTTTTTTTGCATTTAATTAGTTCCGCCAAATATGCGTTTCGGTGGTCCAAAATGTCTAAATTTAAAATTGTTTAAATAAATTCGAGTGCTTCGTATGCATGAAAAAATTGTAAATAACATTTCACTACTGCTTCGTCTTTAAAAGAAAAAATGTATTCAATATTTCTTAGTAGGTAACTTGTACATCTCTGTGGATGTTTCCTAAAGATAACCATTTAATCTTTGTTTTACTTCATAAATATGACTTAAGCTGAAGATTGAGCGTTCGCTGGAAGCAACTGTCACAGGAAGTGCTGCGCCTATCTGCAAGAATCGGTATGTATACCTTTAGGTATAATGATTGATTGCAAGCATCAAGAACACCTAGGAATGTTGCTGAACTATGCTCCGTGGGTGCATTAAAAAAATGCTTGCAAAGAATCATAAGTTGCGTTCCAGATGCTCACGATATTCACGATTTGCAAGTTTTTTTTACAGGAAAGCGTTCCAGGTGCCAAAAAACCTGTAAGTCAAAGCACTTTTGTGAGAGTAACTTGCAGTCTCTCTCAGTTATGAGTTGCAGGTTTTTGTCCGAAGTTTTTCTTCCTGTAAGACCCCTTTCAGACACGTCAAGTCTTGCTTTCAAGTCTGCTCGGTTCGTCGGCGAAGGAGGTGAGAAGAGAGGGGAAAATTACATTCGTCTCACCTCCTTCGCCTTCGAACGAGCAGACTTGAAATCAAGACTTGACGTGTCTGAGAGGGGTCTAAGTTCATGAAAAGTGTCAAACGATAGGCAGGGTTGCATTTGTAAACAAAAAAGAACGCGGTGAAAGCAAACAACCTTTCATTTGTGTAAAAAATGGAAGTAGTCGCAGGAAAAGTGGTTTTCCGCATTCCAGGTGGCTTCTGCTGTTTCGCTCCCGCTCCTCTCTTTCAAGAGAGTAATTTTGTTATTTGACAGTCTTACAGGTTTTTACACGAAGTTATCTGGAACGCACCTATAATAAGGGTATTCATCAAATCTTATAAATGCATTATAAATGTAAAAATTTATAATTGTGTAAACTTTGTAAACTAATGTCAAAGTTTGTATGGAAACTCGTTAAAACTCTGATAAATTTCTCCAACAATTCACTGAATAATCTTGATAAACCGAAGCCAATGCAACTCTGTCGCAAGTGTAAACGAAACAAGTAAGCTTCACACCTTTAATGTATGCAGATGATGTAAAACTTTATAAATCGTACGTTTCAATTGAAGAAAGGTCTTTGCTACAATCAGACTTAAACAGCATGGCTTACTGGTGTAAAGTAAATCTTATGCCTCTAAATCTTAAGAAATGTAAAGTAATGTNCGGGAATGGAGGGTAAAAACCGTTGGGATATATTATTATATTATTATTATTATCAGAAAACTTTACTTTAACAGATTACTGCATTTGAAATTAGTTGTTTGGGGATAAAAAAAATGTTTATATTCACAGCATATCGGTAGCTGAGTGGAAGATCGACCTATCTCGGCAGCCAGTTCGAAAACGCCCTATCTCAGAAAATTTTTTAACAACGCTCTATCTCGAAAAACTTTTCAAGAATGCCCAACTTTAGAATTTTATTGAAAAACGTCCTATCTCACAATTTGGTTGAACAACGCCCTATCTCAGCTGCCGATTCATAAACGCCCTATGTCAGCTTATTTCCAACGTATTTTCGTTTGAGATAGGGCGTTTTTGAACCGGATTCTTTTTAAATCAAATTCTTAATTAGGGCGTTCTTGACAAGTTTTCTGAGATAGTGCGTTTTCGAACTGGCTGCCGAGATAGGTCGATCTTGCACTTAGCCATCGATATATAGATAGAGGAGCTACATATGTATATAGTAAAAATCACCTTATAAAGCACCAATCTAAGTGATTTTCACAGCTGTTTGTGATCGGCATGTAAACCGGTAAGGAGTTTTATCGCAAAAACTTGTATGTGATCAATCAGTGGTACAGGAGATATAGCTTATACAGCACCGATCTTGACGATTTTCCCAGTAGGCTTTGTATGATTATTTAGAAAATAGCTTTCTCGGTTTTAGCTGTTCAAATAAAGGAGTTTTAAAGTAAAACTCCATTTCTGAATAAACATTTGTATGGGGGCTATAGATTATAGTGACCCAATCTCTATAAATTTTACTGTAAGTGCTCTATTCATAATGAGTGAAAATATTGAGAAATTTCATGTATCTATATGAATAAATTGAAAAGTTATAACAAAAAATCTGAACAATTAGTTGTATGGGAATTATATGTTATATTGACCCGATCTCTGTAATTTTTACTGTAAGTCCTCTGTTGATAATGAGTGAAAATGGTGCGAAATTTATATCCAAATCTGCATAAATTGAGGAGTTGTAACGAAAAATCTCATATCTGAACAATCAGTTTTATGGGAGCTATATGTTATAGTGGTTCCGACAAATGATTAATACATTATCAAAATACACTCACTTACCAAATTTCAGTCGGATATCTCGAAAACTGAAAGACTAACAGACGGACATGGCTAAACCGGCTCAGCTCGACGTTCTAATCAGATAAGTATACATTTTCATGGGTCTATCTTTTCCCATTTTATTACTTACAAACATCGGACCAAAGTTTTAAAACCAGTTCATGCTCATGAAAGGTACATGGTGCATGCATTAAATTTATAAGAATATCTGCTTGATACAGTTATCGGTGTAGATGAATACCACTAACAGTAATTTAAATATCAGTACCGTCTTGAAAACGATGGTGGTCAATATTTTTTAAAACTTGAGAGTAGCGATCCATTTTGGACCTTAATCAAACCTCTCCTAATAGTTAGTATTCACACATGGTAGTAAAATTCCATTAGGAATTTTCTCTATCTCATCATTATATGTATACTGGGAACTGTTGGACTCAGTGACTTACTCTGAAATCAGGTGCCCTAAGGTCCTTAGCCGCTCCGACGTCTTAATTTTTTCGCTACTTGACACTCATCAGGTGAATT